CGGCTGTGAGAATACCACCCTCTTACTTGACTTTGTTACTAGTTCTGATGTATAAAAGCTCACATTCAGCTGAATCGTGGAACTGCGCATGGTTGACACTGTTAGTTCGTATTGTATTTACAATTAAATGCTGTTTCTGGCTTAATGCAAACGATGTCATCAAGGCAATGTACAGCGGGAAGAAAAGTGGGGCTGGTCAGTTGGTAAAAACGAAAAAAAAAAAAAAAAACGGACAGATTAAATAACTGAATGATACTTCAGAATGCTAGACTGACACTAAACAGGCTAACAATGAGCTGGAATGGGCTTGCACGGGTAAGAGGTCAAATAAAAAAGTAAAAAAAAAGAGAAAGAACTATGAGGCCCGTGGATGACACATTTCTCACAGTCCAAAAACATCAGTTTGACAAAAAACAAATCACCAAAAACACAGGCATCGGTCTGACAAGGAAGTCCCAGAGGAAATTTTTGCTAGTAATGTCAGTAAACAGTACTATACTCTGCTCTGTTCCGTGGATGACGAATTTACGAAAAGTAACGATTGAGACCTCTTTTAAAAACTTCAGAATAAAAAGGACAAGTATCGCTATGTACGGTGTGCAGCGCAATTTAGGTGACTTTATGTCAGTTCTTCTGAAATTCAAGTCAGTGCTCCTATTCTGCCTTAAAAATGAACTTTCTTGGACAGTGCTGAAGTAAGGAGAAGGCTGTAGATCCAGGCAACTTATAGGCACCTTGCCTGAGTAATTTTGGAAAAGTCAAGCAAGCACAGTGAGCCAAGGGGTTACTATTTGAGTGATTCTCTTTCCGTGCACTTCGTATCGAAATCAGCTGGCATCACAATTCTGTATGTCTACTGAATCCATCCACTTCCTCTGTTGAAATGTACAGAGGCGTCCACAACCAGGTGTATGTTAGTCACAGTCAGCAGCAGCGTATCACGAGGTAAAAACCTCAAAGAAATCTCGAAAAGTCGGGCCCGTTCTTTTTGGCATAAAAGAGATCGCTAAAGTGCATCAGAAAATCAAACCAAGATAAAAATCAATCTTAGCAATCGAAATTACAAAAACTGAGCGAAACTTTTCTTTGGCAGGCAGACAGAAAAGACTGGTGCGTAAAACCTTTTCACAAAAGCTAACCTCACTAAAGGTTACCGACAAGTAACAGTCCGCCAGTTCGACGAATGATCTTTCAATGGTAAATTGCTACATCTAGAGCGCAATACACCCAGACTGCACTATTTTCTCAAAAAACATTCGCCGGCTTGAATGCTCAATTTCGCTTTGCACGAACAACGATCTGTCTGAGACGAGGCTTCGACTACAGAAGATTGAACATTCAAGTTCCCGTCAAGTTTACCTGAATAACAGGAGGATAATTATCTTCCAGCTGTGATCTCCTTGGCTTCCGTGGACGCTTTATTTTTGGTTTTGCTGCATCCTCCTCAACAACATTCTCTTCTTCCGCATTCGACAGACGATGCCGAGGCACCTGGTAAGATTGTTTCACCGTAAAGAATTGAAAAAAAGAGTACGATTTGAAAATTTATCTCATACTAAGCGATGTAGCTTAACCGTGGTATGTTACCAGATAGAGCCCATTATTTAGTTCATTTTTGGTACTTCTGTCTCTCCAATCCTGCGACAGTGAAACAGAGTGGACGATTCTGTTTGCAGCCTCCTCTTTTTCAACCATTTTTCAGCCTCACCCTCCCTCTTCCATCCCATTTTTGCGTCTCAACTCAGGCCAAACGATGATAATGAAAAGCAAAGGATGGACTGTAAAATATTACTATTCATTTGAACGGTAAGGAGTTGACCTTTTGCTCCTCTTCTCATGTATGAAATCGGCTAAAGAAAGCTAGACGAATGGAAACACAAAATAAATGTATGCAGTCAAATGAAATGACGTTACTTTCACAAAAAATCCGCCAATGCCCAGTTTCGGCACTCGACGACCGGGGCCACCATTACGCATCCCACGACCTCGACCGCTTATTCCCATAACCACCCCGAAACCGGGGTTTTCCAATTCCTCTTCATCCACTTGTTCTGAAATTATAAATTTCAAATTGACTATGTGAACTTAACATAAATAACTGCCAGTCCGTTGGCAGCTGCATTGCTGTAAATCCATACAAGTGATTTTCCCATGTTTAATTTTCCAATATCATTTTAAAAAAGTCCAAAAATAGCTACGACCCCAAAAATTGCTAGGATAAGGACATAAAATTCAGGCCTGCCGAGCCAAACACCATAAATTATTGAGTGGATTAGCAGCTAAGTCCACTGTTATGTGCTTTGACACTAGTTGGATACTTCTCCTTGACTAGCTCTTCAAGTAAGTGAATAAACTCTACCTTCGAACGAATGCGTTCGAGGA